TCTCACATGACTCCCCTCTGGCTGCTCCAGTCAACATCACTCCACGAGCCTCAGAGTCAGCTAGTGTGACCACACAATTGGCCCGGAGGCACCGCTTTCATGGTGCACACAAGAGTAATCAGAAACCCCATTTCAAATGTTCCCTTAGTTTGTCAACACATTCGCACAAACACATATTATTGCTGTCTTAAATAAACCTCATATCTCCAAAATGGTGAATGCAAAAGAGATACAATAATGTAATGAGATTTTATATCAGGTAATTTTGCATGTTTTCTATTGATCCATTCATCACGAAATGTTTACATCTTGTAAAGATCAGCTGGTGGTTTCAAATGGTGAAAACAGAGAAGAGGATTTAAAAGGTTTGATATATGTCATTATAACACACTACATTCACAGAAGTCCATGCATGTCCACACGTCCACATTCCAGACTGGCTTCTGACCAGCCGTGCAGACAACAACGTCTCCCAGACAAACACTTTCACACCGCTCCATCAAGCCAGGTAGCTGTGACGCGGTTACATTGTGCAGGCTTGTGGTTTGTGGTTGGGAAGCCAAATTCCAAGCTCTAGTACTACTGTTTCCGCTGTATCACTTTTCAAGCCGCGATCAAATGATCACAGAGAACAAAGCAGTGGGCTTGTTCTTTTGTAGTAAAATCTTCTGAATGACTGCGACTTGACTCTAAGCGCTCAAACGGGGAAAAAAGTATTTCAAAACAGTGCTATCAAAGCAACTCAAGGAGTTAAGGCTACTTTCATAAAATAAAGTGACTGATTATTCTAACAATAATGTGCTATAAACTATTTACACAAAACATCAAAATTGCACATATGAAAAAAGCTGCCATATATTGTGCTCCTGAATTGTGAGGAAAGAAAAAATGAGACTGGGTTAATTTAATCTAATTTACATTTATATGAACCTTCTTTGTGGCCAATTATTCATATAATCTAAGAGTCTTACAACTCCACAGGAGGCCAAAATCCTTCAGACTCAGTTGCTTCAAAGTGGATAAAAACTGTTTCTGAGAAACCAATTGCAGCTAATAGCGTATTTATTACATGATATGCTTTATATTATAATTTAGGTTTGGCTAAACTATTTTCTTGGCACAGTCCTTCAGTCGATGCGTGTAATCTGGCAGTTGTTAAACTGAAATATATAACTACAAAAGTAGCACAAAATGATACAGCAATATAATCAAGCTGTAACTCAACAACAAAAGCAAGAGTAGCCATGTCTGCTGCAGACAGCGATCCAGCTCATGACCGTGCTGATCACGGGGGACTACAGTGCTGCTGGGATAATCAACGCTAGACGACATAGCGAGGGCGAGACAACGTGAGACCAATGCATTGGACATGATCACCTTCGAGAAAAGCGCCTTCCTAATTCCCCCCACCTGGAATAATGGGGTGAACACTGTGTCAGCCTGCTCTGATGTCATGCCGGAACAGGGTCCCATTTCACAATCATCTCAGGCACTTGGAAAAATTCCACCTTTTGGGATTCCGCGCCCACACTTTTTCCAATTAAGTCGGCGAGTAAGAATAACACACGAAATGTGATACCGTCCGTTGACAAAAAGAATGCAGGACTGATGCTCTTCTATCAGAGTTATTGACAGAGTTGTGGTCTGGTGTGCAGCTCTCAGTAGAAGTGTAAAGGGGATGTTGGGGGGGGTGAGGAATGAAGAAGAGAAGAGAGGGAGCTGGATTAGAAGTCGCAGTGAAGGACACTGAATCTCAGCCCATTCAGGATGGTGATTAGCATAGCTCCCCACTGGATCAATAACCTCATTGAGTCAGTCTGTCTCCTCCATCAGGAGTGATGGCAGCAAGGCACAGACTCTCCTTTGTAACTTTATTCTCATGGTAACTGCTCATTCTCTTAAAGGTGGGCAGTACGGTGGGCAAAAATGTAGCATCACGACACTTGAAGATATTTTCATTGTATATGATGTATCATAATATTTTGTTTTTCTGTGGTTTGCAAAATAATGGTGCCACATTTTTAAAAGAATTTGTACAACTGGTCTAAATCTATTTATATCTTTCAGCCTTTTTATGATGTTCAGCATGAGTTATAAAACACTCAGAAAAGACTAATGTGAGATCATAATTTAGCATGATAACCATAACATATAATCATACCGTCCACTTCTATGTTCTGTATTTTCTCGCACCTCTCTTCATTACTACATTTCTCTGTTTCTAACAAGTAACCAGCAAGTTAGTTATTTACACTGTTAAGAAGAAATGTGCAGTAAACTGCCTTGTATGGTAGATGACTGTTCAGGTACATTTTGTACCCCTAAAAGCAAAGTACTGGACAGTGTAAACGTGCGGAAAGTACACACAATTTTATGCAGCAAGCCCGTTTCCTGAATTTACTTTTAAAAAAGCACTTTACAAGCATATTTGACGAAAGCTCTTTGAGAGAGGAAGACAAGGAGCCACTTAAGATCCAATTTGCTCACAGCATGACTTTATCAGCCCTTAACCAAACCTAGTTTAACAGGAATATGGAAACTTGGTCAAGCTCCAAAAAAAAAACTCTCCTTCGTTCTAAAGCGGAGACAAAACAATGAAGCGGAGAAAGTTTAAGAATGAGAGAAACGCCAGATCCTTGAACCGCTGGGGGAAAAAAGTGAACCTTTGATGACAAGGACTTTTTTGTCATGGAAAAAGCTTAAGTTTAAAATATTCTGGGTGGCTGTGAAAGGGGGATTGACCAGTGACCTGATCCCAGGAGCACTCCGGGTGCTAGGGTTAATGGGGGATAAAGATTAGCTTCATCCCCATCCCATCCCATCCACCTTACCCTCCAATCCCAAATCAGCCACACAATGAGACCTGCCAATAGGGACGGAGCCCAGCGCCTTTGATATCCCCCATCTTCTCCGCTCCAAGTGGCCAGAGCAAAGCTCTGTGGAGGTTACACTTCTCCACGCTGGGGAAGGAAAGAGCTCTCAAAGAGCCATTTGGGAAGGAAATGACAGGCGCTCTGCCAGAACAAGAAATCAATTTTTAAAGGGGGAGCATGAGCAAAGCTGTCCATCCGAACTGCCATCTTCAAACTTGGGGCGAGATATGCTTAATTGCAGCAGATTTCGCGACGCGTGTGCATTCATGGTGTGAAGTTGGGGGGCAATTATACTTTTTTTCCCCTGCCTTGATGAGAAGAGTTCTGTTCCAGAACAGATCTGCTTTAAGAGTTCATCTTTGAAGATTTAACTGGATACTCGACAAATTAAAAACTAATATTCAAATCTCTTTAAGGTGGGAAGAGGGAAGCGAGGTTCTGCTAAGTCTTGTGAAGCGATGACTCATGGGATATGAGCTTCGGCCTACAGCCAAGCCACCCAACCTCGCGGCAAACTTTAATCATTTCTGCAGCTCAGCAGAGGCAGAGCTGTGGAGTGGGATAGCCACACGAATAGAGGCTTTTCCAGTATAAAAATCCACTGGACTGGTTTAATCAAGCTGCCCATTATCACTGGTTGGAACTTTGTGAGAGGAGAAAACAAACTCCCAGCAGAACTTAGCTCTACTAACTACAGAAACGCTGATCATGAACATGGAGGTATGACTTAATAGGAAGAGCTTCTACCGCATGAAATTAGACACTAAGGAATAACTATTCTGAAATAACTATTCTCTCTAAATCTTGCATTTTAAAGTGTACGTAAACGCTAACATTAGCTTAAAATGTTTTTGTTTTTTTGTACCTTTTGTAAAATATAACTTATTAGTAAAGTATTATGTCTTCTGGGAATAACACCTGTCAAGTCAAGAAAATATAACTGTTACATGTCAATATGAACTTTGCACTTTGAGATGCAATCAAAAATATTCATGCATACTTCCTAAAGCCGTCATGAACTCAAAATGGGTTTTGGAGCTTTTAGTGTATGTAAAAACTGCTATTTTTCCCAACAGATTTAAATACACAACCTGTCACTTCCTCAAAAATGGGAAAAACAATGATGTGTCCTGTTAAATACTGTCTTGAAAGATAACCTGTTACCTAAATACATCTGACTATTAATAGCTTCTGTGCACTACCAGTTTGCAATAGCAAGCAGTAAATCATGTTTTGTAAGTGTGTCTTTGGTTTGTACTAACTGTCTGGTCTGTATGCTGCTTCCTTTCCCAACCACTGAATGCTTTCATATGTGAACAAGTTTGCAGTAAGTTCCAAACTAACCAGTTATGGTAAAGTGTTTACACGCGCCAGAGTTTGACGTATACTGAACGCTTCAGGCTACAAACTCTTCATGTTCTGCCTGGATTTCCTGTTTCAACAGGAATATGTCAACATTTGGAATTTAATAATGCTCATCAAGCCATTTCAAGACTATTTAAAAATCCCAAATGATCTTCTGTTTTCCTTTACCGTGACTGAATTTCTACGTGACACCACATCACCCAGCTAGCATGTGAGCAAGAGTTTCTCTTTTTTTCTCTCCAACACGACTGTAGTTCAGTGTCTGGCAATGTCTGTATGACGGCATCTATGCCTTCTCTGTAGGGGGCTATATTGCTAATGACAAACTCCGCCACTGCTGTCACATAATCAGTGGGTGAGGAAATTCCTCGCACTTCTTCTGCACTGACTTGGTGACAAACTGCTGCCGTTACTGAAGCCTGTGAGAGAGGGCCAGAGGACCCGCTGCGGCTGCTCTCAGACACTATGTACAATTGAATGAGCTCATTTTGTCATTAACATTAAACACTTCCAGAGTGAGTGGTGGGCACTTACTGTTCTGAGAGTTTTAGGAATTTAGGAAAGAGCGATGGAAGGGCCTTCTAAGAATGAAGATGCGTGCAGAATCTTTTCGTTTTCTCTACTACACGTCATTAGAGTTACTCTCTGGCTGTAGTTGATGGAATATTTAATGGGACAGACTTTCGAGAATGCATCTCGATTATGACTGAGACAAGACGATGGGACATGCAAATGACCACTTTAAAGAGTGCATTTACTCACCACTTCTGCCTTGGCTTCAGAGTGCTCGGGCTATGCAGTGTGCAACTGCCATACCAGATCTCATCCTGAATGAGAAAAATGAGAATGGAAATTCACATATGAACATGTTAACATTTTGCCTAATCCACTGAACTGTTTCCATACTTTTTCCCTGCTTTTTTGCAGTCTTGTTAGCAACATAGCAACAACTGATAGTCTATGACTTTAGTAAGTAATACTTGGAAAAAATCTTAAATGAAACAAAAACACATCAGACGCTATAGATTTATAGATTTCTGTTTTTATCATTTAGCTCAGATGGTACTCCAAAGAAAAGGGAATTAAAACAAAGGGCGTCATTGAAACATCAAGGTAGCAAATAAAACAGTAATTTGATAGAAGATCATTTGCTATATGCCAGTCTGGTCTGATGTCTTTAAACTGTCTTTCACTCATTTCTTTAAAGAAAAAACATATCTGCCAAAAAGATGAAAGCCCTCACAGAAGAACAATAGAAACTGTGCTTCGCAAACTTACCCTGAGGGGAAAAACGTTCAGCCGATGTCCTTCTTTTGAGGGGCGAGTCCAGGTATGCAAAGGATCTGTCAAACAAGACATCAAATATCACTCACTCAAAGCTGCTTCTATTGCAAGACTGCTTCAGTGATTTGTCTACTTTAAAACAGAAGCAAAAACTTTATACAGACATTTTTACACAGAAATATACATCTCGAAGAACATATGATTATATGAGTGTTGAGTGTTCCTTTACCCGAGGCCTAGATTCAAATGTATCAGATTTTGAATAATAATCTAAGCTACAAGTGAAGGAGAGAAGAAAAATGTTTTGCCCTAAAAAGAGCCTACTGTGCCTCTCAAAAAGCAACCGTGCATGCATAAGGCAAACTTTTCACTAAGTGCTCTCATTTTTGCTGACACTAACAGATATCTGCGTGCACAGATCAGCTCATAATAGTTCAAAAAAACTCGCGTGTTGCAGCATATGACTGTCTTTTGTTAGAAACATTTCACACATGAACTTGCTGGCATAGAACAGACACACACACACACACTTTCTCAACCAAGTGGCCTGGATACTCCTGTGATTTTTTTTCCTCTCAGAATTCCAATGACCCCTGTAGGCAACTAGCAACTGCTGGATCCTGTGGAATGTGCTCCCTGAACTGTACAAAGGGGCGGGAGAGCATTGCTGCAAACAAAAACTGCCAAGTGCCATTACGTTTACTGCCTGAGTTCAGGGAGGTGTTGCAAAGACCTCGGCTACTGAGCATTAAGGAAAGAGTGTGAACTGTTTTATCAGCCCAGCCATCAGGACAAGGCTGATAAGACTGCACTGTTTTTACCTCCACACGCTTAAAAGTGTTTATTATTATTAATGTTTGTGCTTGCAGTATCTTTTTCAGAACCACTAATGCACTAATGCTCAGTTTCTTCCCTCAAACAGTGTGGCGCTTGGTGTATATTTAAGCCTACTTGCTCAGTCAACATTTGAATCAAAGACTTATTATGAAAATTAGATTTCAAACTGTTCAGCCCTTTTTTGTGTAAATAAACACTGAAAATGAAATGCAATATAACATGAACTCACCACATAATTATCCTGGCAAAACATTATTTTTTGTTAATGTTCCATTCATTTTAAATGGCCTCTGAGTTTACTTTAATACCGCAACACCCCTGGACTGTGAAAACTCACAATTTAAATCACAGCAATGCAATACCAATGCTATTAGTCTGCGTGACCTCCGCATCAAGGGTTTACACAATGCCGTAGCGCTTTCTATTCTCCATACAAAGCGTTCTCTAAATACTATCAAATTATATATACACACTCCATCAGCCATTCATAGGCTCTAATAATGCCAATGTCTGATATTTACATGAAGCGCCGCACTAAGTCAAGATAAACTATTTCAAATCAGGGGCAGGAATACCTTCACAGCCCCATACCGGGCTGTGAGGACGAAAGAAGACATTATGCTAACAAGTCAGATTACTGTACACAATAATTTTTATCTTTAAAGTAAATACCATTCCCGTATTACAGGGAAAGTCGCCGCAATATTTTTTGACAGAGGCCAAATGCCCCTTATCTGTGTTAGTCAAGCAATTCAAGGCCTCCGAACAAAGATGGGTCTTCAAACTCCTTCTATTCATCACTGGACGTGTAATTACCCCCGGTTCACAGTCTAGACGTTACCGCTTTCAGAGTATTTAAGACCCCCTTTGCAACATGCATGCCGCTTGCACCCAGCCCAACGTTAAATCTGCACCAGATAAATTAGCAAAGAATGCAATAAAAAAGAGCACAATGAAAAGAACTTTATCCTTCCCACTGCTAAATGAGATTTCTTTGAAATGCAGATCAGTGGAGCTAGATTAGTGAATTTTAGCTGCTGTCAACATCATAACAAAATACAAATGCGATTGTTCGCCTGGTTCTTATCTCCTTGCTTCCATCTGCTGCCTCGTTATTTACTCTCCTTGATTTACTATGCAGATCTAAATAAGACGCATCAAAAGGAGGGCTTACAGCACAATGGCTTTTTAAGCTTCTACATCAAGGTATTTGAGAGCGCCGTCACATGAAAAGCCGGCCCATCAAAGGCACATCCCTAATGAACTTCCATATCAGAGAGGGGTGTGTGGCGCTCCAAAGCGGCACAGGGAGAGGGAGAGACGCTAAATCAGAGGAGGTAAATAGAGGCAGGATACCTCCGTGGCCCAGGGAGATTAACGTCCTGCAGGGACCCTCATTGAAGCCCCACATGGGCCTGGCCAAGCCAAGCACAGCCTCTTTTCCATCACACCTCTCCATCGCACATTAGCGGTGGAATAAAAAAACACTCAGGTAGCGCAGCGTGTGCTGGAGAGTATAGTGAATCAGGCCTGAAGGCAGGACTGCTGCCTGTAAGTAATAAAACCCAGCCTGCCACCATGGCAGACATGGACATCTTGACATATGTGTGTGTCGAGTAATCACAAGGAGAGCATTATGTGGGTGCGTGTACAGTGCGCAAGGACACAAGAGTTCAGGCGAAGCACGATTCTCATGGAGGTGCCACAATAATGACGGTAATCTTCAAAGCTTGGGTGTAATATTTGGGGAATAACCTCTAATTTCACGCCATATTTGTTGCATCCTGCGTACACAGACAGGATTACAACTCAAATCCCACAACTTACGGAGGCGGAGGGAGCGGGTGGGGGCGAGAAGAAGTGTGAGTGTTTGAAGATATCTCTGATGTTATTGGACTCTGGAGCGGGTTAAGAGCCTATATGCAGCCAGTTTAGTGGGGAGCAATTAGCCCCAGAGGCAGAGCAGATGTAGGGCTGGCACATGTGGCCTGGAGCAGGGCCATGGGAGCCCACCAGATGATGAGAGGGCAATAAGGGGAGTGGAGGGGGCACAGGGGGGATGAGGTGTGCAACGCGTGGCAAGCACTCGTGTGCCAAGCACCGGCTTCTGGGCATACCCTGTTTCAGACCACCCCCCCGCAAAGACCCCTCCATAGAGAACAAGAAAAGAAAAACAGAGGAATTGTATCCCGTTCTTGGACCCTTTCTTGTGCAGTTGCAGGAAACAGGCCCTTTTCACTCCACAAAGTACAGGCGGCCCTTTAGAAAATGGCATTAAGCTTCATCCAGTGGCTCTGTGGTCGTGCCACACAAACCACTGTTGTCTTTTCACCGTCTCTCAGCCCTCCCCTTTCTCTGTCTCTCTCTCTCTCTCTCGCTCTTCCTCTCTGCCTGCATGGTGCCAAGTGGGCTCTGTGCCAGTCGCATTTGCAACCACGAGGGACCGTTGCCTTTTTTCTTGTTTAATGAAATGACAAAACAACAGATTTACATATGCAGAAACAGGTGTTGTAACAGGTTTGACTCCTCTTGACCTAAAGCGCACAGAGGGAAAAAAACAGCAAAAAAACAGAAAAAAAGTTTATTAGCAACAGCTGCCTAGAGGGTATTTAGGCTCTGATGGGCATTCAAGTCTGCACCATCTGCCCTGCTGGTTGCCAGGAGTGACAATCTAAATTAAAAACTACTCATCAAATATCATAAAAATAAACCATTGTATTGCTGTGGCCATATGCTGCAAGTGGCCCTATCAAAGACAAAAGCCTCTCAGGTACACACTCAGAGTATAATTAACCTTCTGCACAGCCTGCATCTCCAACCACAGCACATTGCCAACTGAAGACATCCCTGTGCAGAAAACAAAACAATGGCTCCTGTGTTATTCACAACGCATTCCTGCATGCCCCTAAGTGCATACTGTCAGTCTGTGCAGAGCAGGGGATGCAGTTTTCTAGAGGAATTAAAAATCACACACTGCAAAGCAGTTGCTGCGATCATTCTGAGGAGGGCAATGTTCAGCTAGTTAGCATCAGTGTTGTAAGGAACAACTAGAAACAAATCACAAATTTCAAGATTTTTATAAAATAACATTAGTGCATGATATTAGAATGTGTTTTTTGACTATAAAGTTTTGACTATAAAGACTAAAAAGAAACTGATCTTGGTCCTTTCTTCAACAACAAATGATATGGTGGTCATTCATTTAACTCAGAAAAGCATAAAAAATATATCCCACCAGAGATGTGACAACACAGCTATGTGCTCTGATTTTCAGAGAGAGAATGAGAGAGAGAAAAAAAAATTGAGGCCAAGGAGTCAAACAGAAAACATTTGCTGTGCCCTTCTGTAAGACAAAGGCAACATTAAAGTGCTTGTTTTCTGCCCTGTTTTTATTTAGAGGGAGGCAGGAGGAACAAACCTGAGACAGTCGTGACCCTGCCAGAGTGTTGCAACTTGTTCTAGAGCTATGCCAGCAGAAGGCAGCACCATATGCCCCCAGCCCCAAGCCCGATGCTCTTTCTGCAGCCTAATACGCCTGTCAGGAGATGTTAACATCACAAATCCTACGTTTTTTTTTTTTTTGTAACATTTTCAAATAAACAGATTTTTCCCTTTTCCTAACAGCACTGTCCTCGGAGATTCCAGTTAGAAGGTCGCCATTTGGCTGTACTGTTTTGATTATGAAAATTATACAAAGTGTATTCAGGATTTATACTGTGTAATGATGCTTACTGATTATTTAAATGCGAGACATTTCGCTTATTAATGGTACATTTCCAGCTGGCCTAATATAATTATTTAAAATGTACTTACTTAAACGCATTAACTAGGCCAAAAAGCAACACACTTAACTGCTATACCAAATGAAACAATGTCAATAAGCACAACAAAAAAGGTCACAGCCTGTCCTGTTCTCTTGTCTTCCCTGATGCAGTTCACTGTTTACTATACAGTCAGGCCAGGGGCGAGTGTGATCTGAGCGCTTGTGACCTTGCCGTTTACTACAAATGACACCCCTCCGCCCGATCTTTCATTCAGACTGGACCCTGAAACCAAGACGCTTTCACACCAGCGTGCTGTCACCTCGCTCTGAATCTGTGAGCTCAGCCTGAGACGCATGCCATGCCTTCACACCACAGAGGACGACAGATACAAAAATGAGTTTTACCAGCTTGACATGAGAGATCATTACACAAATAACGACTGAAGAACATTTAAAGGCACCCATTTCCTCTCATGGCTAATGATACAAAGCTCTCTCCACTTTTCATGATGAATTATCTCAGAAAAGCAAAAAGGAAGGGTTGAAATCAACAATTTGCTTAAGGTTAAAGCAATATTTCCAGAATTAATTTAAAACATGTATCAAACGATCGCGTCCAGGCAGCAGTTGGACTGTGGAAAGCTTTGGGTCATCTGTCCAAACCCCCAGTTACTAAAAAGCACTGAAATGAAATTGTTCCTCTGTTCTGCCTTTATTCAAACAAGACACTGGACATTTTAGAACCTAGACTGCAATCCACATATAATCCATATCCGCTGACCCCACCCAAAAAAAAACTTTTCTTTTTTCCTGGCCAGAATTCGCAGCACTTTCTCATTGAAAACAGCAGCTCTAGTCAGGCTTAATAGGTGACCCAGAGCGTAACTAAAAAAGCCTCAGCTCTCAGCCTCTTAGTTACTGAAGCACACAAAACACCATTACGATGATGTGGATAATTATGGCACACGAGGGCCTCTTAAGCATGTAATACAGTCTTTTATCTAAAGAAGTCAATCTCACCTAGGCTGACAGCTAGAAGCATATGATCCTGGTAAACAAATACTTTCACGCGGCACAAAAGTGCCATTAAAGGCCAGAACTGTCAACACAGATTCCATTCTTACTGGAGGAGGAAGGGAGAAAGGGGGGAAAAAAAACTTGATCACCTCTGGTTGCCTTAACTTGCATGGAGGTTGTCATGGAAACATTTCTGTGAAGTTAATGTGGATAAAAACAGAAGGCTTTCGAGCTTAATTTCCATTAGTGTTTTTGGACCTTGTTTAGGCATCCGTAGGTTTCAGGAAAAGGCCAACAGAGATATCAGGCAGTGCAAACTGCAGATCACTGGCCGTTGTTTTTCCTTTTTTCCAAAATAGTGCAACACCTCAAGGTCGAGCAAGTGGGCAGTTTGATTTAAAAGCGGTGCAGGGGGCATAGCAAGGGGGAACGGGAAAGTTGAGATAATACAGACACATGAAAAAGCAATTTCTTTGATAAATGAACCATACAAACAAATACGCAAAAAATAAAGCTTATACTAACGACTGAAATAATTCATCCAGATAAGCACAAACAGTGTATACTGACCTTTTATGGGTGAATAAACAGATCATAATTGTGTGTTTTTGGTATGAAATGCCATGACGGAAAAGAATATGGATATGTACATTAACCTACAAGCAGTCGACTCAACCCTTAATTTTGACAAATGATTTCAACTTAACAAAATGCATGCACATTAATCCAGGGAGGCCATACATTTTCCTATCAGCAGAACACACGGAGCAGCCGTGATGAATGGTGCAATCTGGGGGATGTATGCAAAATGCCAGGCTGAACGTGGGTTTGGGCCCCAGTCACGGGTCAGCTGTCAGCTGTCCCCCATCAAACCATCACACTGGCACTGCGCGTGTGCCCCATCCCTCTCCACAGTGGGCGCACTGAAACGGCACTAATTAAAATCACCTGGAGAAGACTGCGTGAGGCTAACGAAGGGCTGGGCTTCAGGTTGCACAGAGAGGTCGGAGCCGTTGAGGTGTGCTCGGCAAAATTTTACTACTGCTATTACGGCCCCTTTGAAGCGGCTGCGTGTTGAGTGATGAAATGGTGTGAGACACACCTGCACTTCACCTGCACAGCTGCCAGAGTAAACCACAGGCTTCGGCCCCAGCTAACACAGAGGTGAAAGCTCGAAAGCTAATCATGGGTCACCAGTGGAGCTGGGCTACTACACATCTTGTTAGCAGTTAAAAGGGTTAAAAGGGGGGAAAAAATCACCTACCCTATTCATTTAGTCGCAGATATCCTTTACCCACCAAGCCCCTCAGATACTGCCATAAAATGGGCCTGGATCTAAGAGGAGTGCTGTCCCTTATCCGACTCTGTATTACCTGCATCATTACCACTTACTATCTGTACTCACACTATGGAGATTTCACAAGGACCGTGAGATGGGAGCAAGCAAACACGGTAAGATGATGATGATGATAATAATAAAACTAATAATAATAATATTAATAATAATAATAATAATCATCATTTTTAAGGTGTCAATTTTAGAAAATAATTAGTAAGGTACTTTTAACACTTTTTCTGCTTTGATATTTTGTTTAATGCATAACAAAGATTCTAACACAGAATAACATTAAAACACACACTAAAAATTGTCTTAAACTACAAATAGTTCCAACGTGCTTTTAAACTAAAGAAATAGGACGTAGGCAATTTGACTATTGAGGTCAGCATCATTTCTACGTAAAAAAAAACTTCTAGAAAAAAGCCAGCTAATATACATTGCGTTTCCAATAATCTGTCCGGCAAGCACAAAATTAGCTATGTATTATAACATTATGTATTACTAATTAGTAACATAACATGTGAAAATTACATTGATATACTGCTAATTAAACAGTTACGCAAGGAAATCGTGTAGTCTACATTTTAGACGCACCGTCTGTGCCACATTTTAGCGAAACAGCCAACAATACGTGATTTATTCTCTATTGTTTCAAACTTTTTAAAAAGTTAACTCATCATGCCTATTTTTGCTTCTACTCAGTCTTAAACCAACTAATGCTTTAGCGGAAAAAACCTACATACAACGTGCCATTTCTCGCTATTTGCACTGAGTCATATAGAAAGGCTAAATGAAAAGAGTGAGGAGTCTCTCTCTCGCTCTGTCTCTCTCTCCTCTGTGTGTTGACTTCTGTGTGACCCACGCCGGACTCTTAACGATAAAGCTTCAGGGTCTTTGGGCACCAGAACTACCCCACAAAGACTAACTATGAGCGAAAGACCCTCAAAATATCACCCCCTTCTCACTGAAAGCCCTCAGAGAAGCTGCACTGCTCGCACCACCACAAACTGTTTAGGTGAAGTTGAGGATTCGGCTCCCTGTCGATACGCAGCAGCTGAAGTGAAACTCACAACACAACACAGGAGGCTGGAAAGCGATAAAACAGTGAAGTGGAAAACTCACCAAAACACGCGCTTATTTCCTCCGTGGGAAGCAAAAATAATAAAAAAAATACAACAACAACAGAGGTTTGTAGAAAACACACAAAAGTTCGGCTCGCTTTCGGCGTCGTGGGGAAACAGGCTAACGCACGTGAGCGTACAAGTTAATCATAAAAGCAGGTTTTAAAAAAATGAACAACAAGCCGTAGAGTAAATAAGACCGCTGAGGTATCCCTCCGCTCGGAGATGCACGCGTTGCCTCCTGTCTTCAGTCAGTGTGCTGCTGTTATTACTAATGCAACACAGACAGAAAAAAAGCAAGCCGAGTACACTGAGTCCTGTTACAATGCTCGCGCATGAGGCGCAATACGAAGCAGCAGCTTGTTTGCGTTACGATTCAGTACATCAAGATGTATTCCGCCGAGCGTTTGGGACTAGCTGATTAGAAAGCAGCCCCCCAGGGGAGGCTCTTCCGCGGAGGTGGATTTTGTTATTTTTTGGAGTACCGCGACTCCGTGTGACGTCATGTCCACCTGCTATGTAAACAACAACAGAAAACAAAACTCGTTAGAAGTTGCACTTAGGCGGGTTTTTCACACTTTTGCCCAGCTGAGTTCTTGAAAGCCACTACTGAGCTGCTCATTGGCGTCTACGACAAACAGCCTGTGGAAGAATATTTTCTGTTGGAAATTTGAGAACAAAAGAGTGAGAGAGCACGAGCCAAGGAAAAAGAAATATATATTTTAGATAGAAAGATAGATAGATAGATAGATGATAGATAGATGTGTGTGTTTGTATACTATTATGACTGTATTACAAGTGTACAACATACACACATCACACACACACACAACTATAAATATATGTATGTATATGTGTGTGTGTATATACATACATATATATATATATATATATATATATATATATATATATATAGACATCCTTATGTGTGCATATGTATTTAAATTAAATATGAAGTATAAGTGTATATTATAGGCATTTTGTATAGAATTAGTCTAGTATACATGTATATAATACCTTCATTAAAAAAAATGTAGCCTTGTTTATTTCCACAATTTCTTTTTTGACATTTTCATCTTACATCTTACATTTAACTGACTAGAACGAGATCGTTTAAAATGTGTTTAATGACATCATTACAATAATCAAAAACCTGATAATTGCGCTTTCCTTCATCGCCATGTTCGCACTACAGCTGCGATTTCAGGTTCATTGTCCACTCTGCGTTCATACATTCACTGACCTTTGTGTTGAACAGAAAGTTTTCAAGCAAGCAGATCTGTGCTAATCGTAGGTTAAGTCCCTGATCTTGCAGCGTTGACTGCCATGGTAATTTAATATAAATAATTCAGGACAGTTTTCTCCTGAACTCCTCTAAAACAGCGAGCACACACAGAGTAAAGGCGCCGGCTGTTTGTCATCTGTGCTCGCGCTAATTTAAATGACATATGACGACACATCCTTTCAGTCCCACAGTCCATCAGTCCGGCTTTCATTCTGCCTGGACAGAAATACATCAGCCACAAAACTATTCAGAATTAGGTGGTTATCTATGGAGCCAGCAGAGCTGTTCATCACTTTCGTGTGAATTTTAATATTCTTATTAAAAAACAACATTTCAACCATTTTTTGTTTTATAATCAGATCTTTGGAAACGATGTGTGTTTGTATAGAATGTAAAGTGTGAGTTATTTTAACGTTTTCATTAGTTAATCAGACCTATCACAACATCAAGATCACAATAGTCTGCATTTATTCCAGAGAAATCGAAGTTGTAATCTTATATATATATATATATACATATATATATATATATATATATATATATATATATATATTTCCAGATGTGGAGAAGCATTATTAATAACGAACATTCTGCTGTACGTTGTATTTCATGTATATATATATATATATATATATATATATATATATATATATATATATATACATATACATACACGAAATACAACGTACAGCAGAATGCTCGTTATTAATAATTCTTCTCCACATCTGGAAAACATCAGATGCATCGAGTCAGTTCAAGAAGTGCTATTTTGTTCTTAAAATCATAGTTTAATTTATAACACTTACAAACAAATATAAGCTTTAATGCCAGGTATCCGGGCTGCTGCCTCCTTTCGTTGATTACATCATTAGAAATTTTGCGAAGAGTAACTGCGTGTGGAATTAGAAGAAAATAATGAGTGTGAAATTCACTGGAGACTCCAGACTCAGCCCAAAGAGTTAGGTGTTGCTGCCACCTATCGGTCCAATATTAAAACTGCACTTACCCAGAGGAGGCGCGCTCAGCAGGCAGGGAGCGTTGCTTAAATGTGAGCTCACAGTGCCATCTTGTGGTGAGAGTCAAATATTATGATTTTCAGAAACTGATTAGGCCTGATCTTCATCAGTGATTGTCAGTGGCGTAACTACGACTTTATGGATCCCAATGCAAACAAATAAAAAAATCAAATAAAAATAATGGTGCCTCTATACTAAAATTACTTTCAGTGAATGAAAAAGGCAATGGATTCAGCTTGTTTACTCACTAGTTATGGTGAGGTATGTTGTTAAGAAACAATCTTTCTATGAGCCATTGGTGTACAGTCATGTCAATTTCTATATGAGGGGACAGTAAAGATGTTAGGGGTCACTGTGGGCCACGCTGTGCCATAAGCCCCAGTGTGAGTGCCTTTCCACCACCCTATAATCACGCCACTGATGATTGGGTAGAGTAGCCTAAACCCATAGTTAAGTAAAAGTATTGTTATTGTAGCAAAATAAAATAAATAAAAGTGCGTTAAAAAATAGAATAGGAAATTAAGTATGCTAAGTCTGTTAAGACAACATTCTTCTCATTTTGGGGGTCCTTTGGGTCTAAAATAAAATGCTAAAATTGCAAAGTGGGAGTTGTGAGCAATGTTGTGCTACGGGCAAGAGAAATTGTCAATTTGCTGACTAATTATGCCCAGACTAGGGGCAACACAGTGACGCCTGCAGAGCAGCACTGCCTGGGGCAGTAGGAGGGTTAAGTGCCTTGCCCAAGGGTACAACCAGGTATACCTAGTCAACTCTGGGATTTGAACCCACAACCTCCCGGGTGTTGGCTCACCTCATCTACTACATATGTGTAAGTAAACTTACTAACAAATGCTGAGGTGGATTCCTGCTGTGTATGTTCCCTATTCCATTTGGATATCATCCACAAGCCTTCCCAGGAAAGATACTGTGCTGCATACAGTTGTTGTTTATCAGTAACTGTCTGTGTTCAGCACTCACGTTGTTTTGCACTAAGTTGTATGTGTCACACTGGAACTAGCCAATGCGTTTTGTGCAAAGTGTTAATGTTCCCTTGTATGTGAAATGTTCTTCTCTTAGATATTTTCACCCACTCTTCCTTACAGAACGCTACTAGTTCTGCAATATTCATGGGCTGTCTTGCATAGACAGCATGTTTAAGATGTACTCACAGATTTTCAATGATGTTCGGGTCAGGGGACTGTGAGGGTCATTCTTAAAGGTTCAGCTTGCACCTCTTGAAGTAGTTCATTGTGGATTTTGAGGTATGTTTTGGATCATTGTCCTGTTGTAGAAGCTTCTTTTCAGCTTCAGTTTCTTGACTGTGTCACATTTGATTACAGAATTTGCTGATATTTTATGGAATCCATTCTTCCATCTACCACTGCAGTGTTTTCTCTGCCAGTGGCTGCCTTAATAGTTGGCCAGGTGTTCTTTTCATCAAATGCTGCTTCTTTTTTTCTCCACACATACTTTTGGTGATCGTGGTCAAAAAGATCCATTTGTACTTTATCAGTCCGCAGCACTTGTTTCCAAAATGCCACCGACTTGGCAGATGTTGTTTTGTATGCTACAGACATTGATCTTTGTAATGAGGTTGCAGGTAAGGTGTCCTTCTGATGACATTTCTATGCAGATCATGTTTGTGCAAGCATCACTGCATAGAGAAACTGTGCATCACCACTATTGTGTCAGCTAAACCATACTGCAGGTCCTTTGCTGTCATATGGGGGTTTTGCTTTGCCTTTTTCGGCCAGCGTATGAGCAGGTCTATCTGAGAGGTTTCTTCTAGATCTTGCCTTGACTTCCACAGTTCCCTTAACTGTCCTCTCTTAATTACAAATTGGACATTGGTTCTAATGTCCTTGCACTGACTGCTGCTCTGCCCTTTCATTCAGCTCTTCATTTTCAGGCTTATACAGTAACTATCATGAATTAACCAGGAATGGACATCTTGATCCGCCAATAGTTCTTTAGAGTCTAAGGGGTCAACCTGGACAACTTTATTCCATTATATCACCCCTTACATAATAGCAAATAAGGAACACTTTGGATCAATATGAACTGGAATTACGTGCCAGACATTCTATACAGAGTCAAATTAACCAGCAAGGATAGAAGCTAGTACATACTGTATCTGCTCGGTGTCCACGGAGGGCACACTAGCATGGGCAGTGGAAGCTATTTTTAAGCCAGGCTCTCAGTACAATGTTGAGCTGCAACCCGAGCCATCGTGTGTAGTCACATCGTGTGTGGGGTGTCAGTGGACTGCCTCTGTCTGTCTCTCACACACACTGAACCGGGATGTCGGCAGAAGAGCCTGGACTGTTGGTGGCCTCCTACTGCACAGAGACCCCTACCCTCAGTGCCTGGGTGCAGGACAAAGGCGAGGAAGAGGAGGAGAAAGATGAGGAGGTAATGCTGGGTGATATATGGTCTATATTGGTCTAACAGTATTGGTTTCACACAGTAATGTTTGTTTTTAGTTGCAATGATAAATAAGGTGCATTCTATTTATGCTAACACTCTATTCTAGTCTGATGACATCTTCTCCTCATCTTCATTACTATTAAGTAACAACTGATGGAGTAGCGTTCTAAGACGTATTCTAATATTCTATATATGGTTCATATTTATTATGTCATTCTATATATGGTTCATATTTATAATATGTAAGGTTCTCTTTGGTGTTTAAGAGTGGAACAAAACAGTGGAAAACAAGTTATGTCAGGCTTGTAAGACGTTATTTTAGCATAACATACCAGCACTCAGGAAATATTCACTTTTTTAATGCAAACTTTAATGTCATCAAATACCTACACTGTTAGAAATAAAGGTTCTATGCAGGTACATTATTCGTTCATCAAGGTACAAACAATATAAATGTTTCCTCAAAGGTACAACAGTGGTTTTAAGGTCCAATTGTGTATCTTAAATAAGTTTTTCCCAGGTGAAAAGCACATATTTGTACCTTTTCATAACCTAATGTTTTAAAACAGAACAACACAATACAAAGCCTGGAGATGAGATGGGGTGGGTGGAATCAATACAATATGTATTTTGTATTATTGTATAAATATAATTTCAATGGATTATGGTACAATTATGTTCCCTGGCTAAATGTACTGAGATGTACCCTTAGGGGTACCACCCCAGTTGCAAGAGGGGTCCAGCCCCAGTGACAGTTTCATACCTTCTTTTCTAAGAGTGTATGTTGCTGTTGCTGTGATGAATTTGGAATGTATCATAATATTGAATTTTATCATTACACCCAGCACTTCGAAGAGTCAAACAGAAGGGAGGAGCCTCAGAGAAGCTCCAGTGATGAATCCGAAGAGTCTGAACCCGAGCCTCCACCACCTTCAGCGATACGCAGGAAGGTTTCCTTTGCAGATGCCTTTGGCCTGGAGCTGGTGTCAGTCAAAGAGTTTGATAGCAGAGCTGAGACGGGGCCTGATGGCTTGGGAAGGATGCAGGCCAGAGAAGAGAACTACTACCTATCCAGCCTCTTCGTTGTCCCATCCTCGAATGAGGAGCTTTCACTATTGCTGCAGCAGAACAAGCTGGAGCTGGAGAGCATCGAGCTCCTGCCTGGCTCCACTACCATCCGAGGCATCATCCGGGTGCTCAATCTTTCCTACCACAAGGCTGTCTATGTCCGCACCACACTGGACAGATGGCAAACCCACTTCGACCTGTTGGCCGAATACATACCCGGCTCCAGTGATGGACAGACAGACCGCTTCTCCTTCAGGTTCACCCTGGTACCCCCATTCAAGGCAGAGGGTGCTCGGGTGGAGTTCTGCCTCCGCTACGAATCCTCTGCTGGAACCTTCTGGGCCAACAACGGAGGCACAAACTATGTGCTGTTCTGCCACCAGAAAGAAGCAAAGGAGCTGAAAGAGAAGGAAGGAGAGAAAGAAAGGGATACAGAGGAAAACAATTACAAGGAGAAGAAGAGCTGCTTGAAAGGTAGAAGGTGAGAAGGCATTTGATGCAGATGGTGATGCAGTTGCTTTCTTTTAAAAATGTTTTAAAGGCCCATATACCACATCTTTATGTATTTTATTTCATTTATATCCCCTGAGGTTCACTTATATAGTTTGTGGTGTTTTATGTACCAAAAACAGTCAGAAATCATTTTAACATGATCATTTTCCAACCTCTATTTATCCCTTAGAATAAAACAGGCTGTTTTTGTTACCTTGCCTTTGAATTGATATATGTAAATAACCTCTGTTGTGATTTTTTCTTTCCCCCAAATTTTTCCCCAATTTAGTCATCTCTAATTTCACCCACTAGTTAGGACTCCCCCAGTCACACAATATTACTCTGTTCTGTTTGTTTACAGAAAGTGGAGCAATGCTGAGCTGAAGTCCACTGGCTCGAGCAGTGATCTCTCAGGTGTGTGTCCCAGCCAGTAAAATCACTGTGGGGTCAACTCGACCTGTTTTGAATCCAAGCATGATGGAAGTGTTTTATTTTCAGAACCAGAGTCATCTAAGTCTGAGGAGAGTGAGGAAGAGAAAACTCAGAATGAAGCGGAGATGGAGGCGTGCCGCAAAACTTTGGTAAGCTTCATCAGTTGTCCTTCAGGGCTGTGGCATATAACCATAGGCATGCATAAAAGAGAAGGTAAAAATAGTAGCAATGGATTACACGGATTTTAGTGATTGTGCTTGATTTAGTTTCTGTTTTCCAGACTTTTCAATAGTGTCTCACTTTTGTGACCAAATTCTTAAGACAGTACAGTTTGTATTGAATTGATTATAGCTACAGCTCCATTTCCCAAAGCATGAACAGGGCTTGAAACAAGCCCTTCATTTATTGATTATTTCAAATTGACTGCAAGATCTTGACAGATGAAAACATCTTGAATATACTCAATATAGCTCAATATAGCTAACATCTTTCATGAGAAATATTGGTAACACTTCACTTGTACACTACTACATAACATAAGTATGCCATAAACATGTCATGGCAGATGTTTTGTAGCAGGGGTCAATTAAGGTGTTACCAAAATAGAAAACTGTACTTATTTCTAGACATTTTTTCTTGGTATAAGCAATTTCATCTAGTGAACGTGTCTCATGCTATTTGCCGACAATTCTACTTGTTTGAAGAAACAGTGCAGATATTTGTCCTTGTTTGAGGAAATATTACTTGAAACATGCAAAATCTTATAATATTATTGCTGCAATCTCATAATAAGAAATATTAGGTACATTAAGTAGATTTAAGATGTTTTCTCTTGCCAAGATTGCAGTACTGGTGCACATTGGTAATTTGCAACTAGGTAGTTACATTGAAACTACCCAGTAGTTTCTCAAAGGCTCACTTTTTCTTGCACTTGAGTTCTACAGTACTTCTCTCTTAGCATAACTGTTCTGCATTCCGTCCACACTATCAGTAGCTGAATAAAAAGTTATATAAAGGAAAGTAATGCATTTGAAGCTAGAAATTTCATTCATATAGTATTTTCAGCAGAAGCAGACTTTGACAAGTGGAAATGCTTTGGCTCCTGAGTGAGAAAGGTTGGGATTAGGACAGCTTGTAATGTGCCTCAGTTCAAAGGGTCCAGCGTGCTCAATATAAGCGTGGGCAGTAACTTGACCCCAAGGAACATACCATGCATTCTTTAATAGCTGTCACATGCAAAACTATTAATGTTACTTGTCAATGCCGAGCATGCTCATGTAAACACAAATAGGTGAGTCAGTACAGTTAGGTTTGCTGCCATAACAAAAGATACCACATGACCAAGTTTAGCTTAAAAAGTCTAGCTTGAAGCAAAAGTTCAGCAAAAAGCTATACAATTTTCCTCTCACCTTGAATGTTGTCAGTCAGCTAAGATGTGATTGGTGAAGTTTGCTTCTTTAGTTTTGGACTAGAGCTTCATGGCTAACAAACAAGTAATAGCAAACAAGTAATAGAAACCAATATGATATCAGTTAGCACTGCTCTAACTGCACGCCTAAATTATCACACACTTGTTGAGTTGCTTACGTAGCCTCTGATACTGTATGGCACACTGTTATGTATGTATCTACATATATCTGTACATTGGATAGCTTAAAACAGTCATATCAGACATCCTGAAGCCTAAATATTGCCTGAACTCTTGTGGTTTGCAAAATATAGTTTGCATGAGGCTAATGGAAGTACATTAATTGTAAGATACATTAGGTTTGTCTCACCAGTGCAAAACTAAAGAAAAAAACTTTGTACACCAAACATGTCTTTGCTGATTGATTACTTTCGGAGTAAGTGAAAAATGGATTGATTTTTTTTTTTTTTGCCAACAGTTTGATATTCGTTAAACACAGAGGTGGAAAGTAACAAATTACAATCATTCTCATTACTATATTTGAGTACATATTTCCCTGTAATAGATCAAATCATAGTACTTTTACTCTTACTCAAGTTCATTTTTACTGAAATACTTTAATTCAATGCTTTCGTTGTTAATAATGTTACAGAGTAAAAATAAATCATGAGCATCAGTTCATAAATCAGTTAAAAAAAAAATGAAAACAGAGCAGCTCCCAGCCTCCAAAACACTACATAGATGTCCAGTTTAGTGAAGAAAGAAAGAAGAGAACTTTAGCAGCACACATCCAATGGTCATCTTCATTCCTTTACAAATGAACTACAGAAAACGGCATTATTATCAGTGGCTAAACACAAAAGCTGCCGAGATCGCTGCTTCCACAACTCTAATCCTAGCTAAACAGGTACTATGTACAGGTACTACCTTTTTCTTTTTACTTTTGTCACGTATGTGTTTATTAAACTTAAAATATCATATTTTATTATAAAAGTAGTCAGCTAGCTACTTTAGTTAACAGGTGTCACCCATAGTGTGGTTCATGGTTTAAAATATAGCCTAGTTTAGTTGCTATTTTGGAGATAAGTGACCATGTACAACCGTGATATGGGAAAGTCTCGTCTAATACAGGTTCCCCATAAACTCAGGCTTTCTTTTTTAATCTTACTGGCCTAATCTGATCAGACAGCAGGTGGGGTATGAAGTTCTTTTGTTGTGCACACTGTACACAAACCAAATAGAGTTCACCTCACATCAATAACGAGCTATCAGAGACATCAGGACATCACTCAAACAGAGTTTAAACAGTGTTGTGCTATAATGTTGATTATTTGGTCTGACTGTAAATTTACTCCTCAATCTCACCTGACAGATAAAACAAGAAACACAGGACGGACTCACATCCAGTGAAAGGTCTTTCAGTGAAGATGCGTCCTTGCCAGAATCAAGAAAGTTAATTCTGTCAGTTCATCACAGAACTCTACCTAACTTTTCTCTCACTCCCTCTCTGCCTTTGTGTTTAACTATGTGAGAGGCTGTTCAGTTCAGTTCAATGTTTAATTTTAACTGAGTACAAATTAATGTGTGATTCTGTATGAAGTAAGTATGATTACCAGTGAAATATGTGACAGTAAAGAAAATCAGCACTGGATTAATAGCTGTTGTTGATAATGAATTTAACGGTAGAACTGAATCACACATATATCAGTTAATATATACAGTTTTATGGCTGTGAATGTAATGTTTACTGTTTGTAGTTAATAGGCTGACACCTATTAATGTAAGTTAATGTTGTAGGAGCTGGTGGGCAGCAGGACTGTCACTAAAAATTACGTATTAATTGAGTAATGTACTCATAATTTTGACTCAGTTAAGTAATCTGTTTTTTGTATTGTATTGAATAGTAGACTTCATTAAACAGTGAACCCTGCACAGCCTTTCAGGGATTCTAAACCATTTTGTTGGAAACAGATAAACCACTTTGTTGGAAACAGATAAGCTAGGAAGTCTTATATAATCATCTAACCTTTAAGTGCATGTACTTCAATGTAAACCTTGTTCCTTTCACAGTTCACAGAAAGATGTCGTCACTGTCCAAAGGAAACAATGTATCTCCATTTTGGTAGATTTTTAATTTTGTACATCATTTCGACACACCAGCTGTCCTTTACATTAACTTACATTAAAAAGTAAGAGTAAAGTTACTATTTTGGAGATACTTGTTTTTCTTTGGACAGCGACGATATGCACTAGCGGAGCAGATCAGTCTCTGCAACTTTTTCTCACATAAAATCATGTTTTGCTTTAGTTTTGTCTGTACAGATTATTCACATTGATGTAGCCAGGACAACTCAGAAACATTTTCAGGTTGTGACTGTGGATATACAAGAAAGTAACTCCAAAAAACTACTTACTTCAGTAATTTTCTTTACTAATATGTTTGCTTGTATTCAGGTAAATTATCACTACAGTAACATTACCTTTGCTTGAGTAGGGATTTTCAGTACTTTCCACTCCTGGTTACACAGAACTGAAATTTTGCTTTTATGACTGCGTTTGATTGACAGGTGGAAAGACGGAACAGACGGCGGGCAGCTCGGTTGGCACGAGTGCAAGACTACTTCTCTCAGAGGCAGACAGAAGTTCAGAAAGCGGAGAGAGATTTAAAGATGGCGATACCTGCATCACATCTTAGTACTCCAGTGGGGCTAGACACCTCTGGGGTATCCTTAGTGCACAATAGAAAGGATCAGGATACACCACCAATCCTAACATACCACCAGATCCCCTTACTTTCTTTGGACTGGGGCAAACACACAACACCTCCCACACATCCAAACACTCCTATGATACACAGTGGAGCCAGCCCAGATATCCCTGAGAAGCAACTAGCAGAAGAAGAGTCAACAGGGTCATCCACTGATGCCTGGGAAGCTTTTCTCAAGGGGACAGATAGTTCAGGCACCCATGCTAATGCTCTGGATCAAGAGTGTTTGCTTTGTGTGGCTTCACTCCCGTCACACAATGAATGTAACATGTCCACCCCAGGGGAGAAGGTGTTGTCAGAGAATCTACAGAGTCCACTCACCATTGGTAATAGATCACTCAGATATTTTAGCCCAGAGGAAACTCTAGAGTCTGATCCTGCTGAGAAGTGGCAAGACTTCAAGCCATGTCATGCCAAAGAGGAGGCATTGGATAACAAGTATATCGAAAGGCCAGGCATCACTCCTGAAACACACATTGTCCAAGAATCAGAATTGGTGTGGGTGCAACCGGGGACAGAAACACAGGACAGACTCACATACAGGGAAAAGTCTTTCAGTGAAGATGCGTCCTTCCAAGAATCCAACCCACTGGAGATGGTTCAAACTATGGATGCCACAGAATCTCAGGATTCCAAAGGAGAACACAGAGTCTCACCAGAAGAATGTGTAGGCAACCCAAACTACTCAGGCCCAGAAGCGGATGTAAAAGGAGACTCAGACAAAATGGTCGACGACACCCTGACATTTAGAGAGATCAAGGATAAGCCATTCACAGACAGACAAACAGGAAGAGGGGGGCCCTTAGAAAGACTGTGTACAGATGAGGACAGAGAGCTAAAGCGGGTGAAAGAGCACATCAGGAAAGAAAACGAGATTGCAGTAGAAATTAGAGTGAAGGTATCTTGCAATGAGTATCCTGGAGATTTGACGGAGGGACTAGAAAGCAGAAGGCAAGGAGAGAATGAGGAACCATCCCAGTTGAGGGATCAGAGCATGGAAATGATTTCAGCAAGCAGAAGTTTGGTGTTTGATGAAGAAGAATTCAACACAGGGACTGAATGGTCTGACAGAAAAGCTTCAAAGTCACAAGAGGAAGAGGAGATAGCGGGTCATAAGCCAGAGAAAGAGGGACTTGCTGAAAAAAGTGAGACAATGTCATCTGTAGCAGTCGACAAGGATATAGCTGATAGAGAATATGAAATCAGTTCAATAGCAAAGATGGGAGGTCAGGAAGAACCATATGAAGTAGACAAGGTAATACATGGAAGGAAAGGTGGAGGTGATGCCTGCAAAGACTTTATCACATGCAAGGAACCACATAAGACTCATGGTACTACTGACACCTGTACAAGCGCACCCACTCTCCCTGTAACCAGCCACTCCAGTGACTCGTCTGGACTGTTTGGCTGGACAGAATCTGTGAGTGAGGCTGGACCCTTACTATTTTCTGGCCCTTTTGGGGAGACTCTGAGGCACAGGCCAGCTCAGGACCTCCAGTATCTCCAGGATCCAGAGGCAGAGTACCCTGCCCCATTGTCCAAAACAGCCACTCCGTCAGTGAGCACGATGTCCAGCAGCCTCCTTGCATGGTGGGCCGAATTCTGCTCCCCAAGGCACATATCCAAGGCTCTACTGTATACCATCTTGTTTTTGATCTTTATAACCGCTTATTTGCATGACCTGCCGGTCTGCTTGGGCATCTACCTGTTGTCCGTGTGCTGGTGGTGTGGGCAGAGCATGAAAAAGCGAGTAACCACAGCTGACAGTGTGGACTGATGTCAACATCAGAAAGTATTATTCTTTTAAGGCCATGGCACACTAACCAAACATTCCCCAATGGACACCAATCTTCTAATGTTGGAATATGGCTTTATATTGACAAGTAACTGACAAGTCAAATGAACCAGTGTGCTATACCTGTGTTCACACACAGGTATGGCACACCAACCAAAAGATTGGGTTTGTTGGTGTTTGTTGGGTCAGTGTACTCTGGCCTTTAGTCAAGTGAAGAATTTTAAGGGCCCAACATAAGTTGACTAAATTATTTATAGAGTGGCATTTATTTTTATTCTAAGTACTGTTGTTTTCATTAATAAAATAATTTAGAGGTTTCTGAGGTTTGAAAATGACATCACAGCTAAAATATCTTGGACCTGAGACCAAGTTCATATGCTTGTAGAAAGACAAAGACAGAGACAAATGCTTGTTTAAAAGACAAAAGAACATGTTATAAGTATGAACCACTAATGTAAGTGCTATGCAAGGTGATATGAGTCAAATGCAAACAACTGAAATACAGCAGTTGTAGTGCAGAACTATGTAATAAGCAAGCTGGATATTTCAGTTGTACTTACTATTGCTCCCATAAAAGAATTCTATAATGCATGAGGCATATAAAGCTTTGAAAAATGGCTCATCCCTGTTGAATTCTGATAAATTCTGTGAAATTTAAACTATTGCTTGAACTAAAATGTGCTGACTCTGAAGACCTGCCTTCTTAGGGCACTCATTCATTTCACCTGATCTTACTATGCTGTACGTCACTAAGATATAGTGAAATCAAGTGGTGGTATAGAGTTTCAGTGTCTCCATAATTTGTATAGCTCCACACAATTGGCCTCTGTGTAGTTCTAAGCAAGTGGCCATCAGGCCCATGAGAAAGATTCAGGTTGCACTGTAAAAAATGAGAAGTCTGCTCAACTTAAAATGATATAGTAACTGTTTGAATGGCTTTTTTGAGTTGACTCAATTTGAGGACACCAGAGTTCAACTCAAACATCTTAGCTGAGTCAAACATTCTCCCAGTTGCTGTTTCTAGGTCTGCATCTCAGTTAGATAAACAAAACTGAATTTGCATTTTTTTTTTACACCTTCTATTACACAGTCCCATCTGGCATACTTTCCTCTCAGGCATCTGGATATGGACGGATTGCTCACAATCTCCTGAGGGTGGGATGACTTATTAGACAGTTTCACCACTTCAGTGAACACCATGCTTTAAAGTTAAACCAACAAATATTTTCTACAGTGTATTAAACATTTGTAGACACAAAAATCGGAGTTGCTTCATGTACTCCTGAGTGGTGCAGTGGACTAAGCCGTCACCCCAGCAGGACGTTGTGAGTTTGAGCCCCAGCAATGCCCCAGCAATGCCATAGCCATCCATAGGTGTGTACCCAAGAGAAAAAATGTCTAGCAGGATTGTGTGATGGAAAAAGTCCTGGCTTGTGGGCAAGTTGAGTATACAAAAACAGGTTCCTTTTATTTACCTAACTGAGATGTAGAACTAAAAACCTATGAGAACTTTTGACTCAATTAAGAAGTTTGAGTTGTGTGAACTCTTGTGTCCTCAAGTTGAGTCAACTTAAGAAAAGCCACGTAATCAGTTACTATATTATTCTGAGTTGAGCTGACCTCATATTTTTTAGTGTGTGTGTGGGGGTCTGGAGGGAATTCCTGAAGCATGTTCATGGGGTCCATGTTGGGTTACATACTGCCAGGTTAGCAATGAGACATCTTGTCAGTGGATCAGCAAATTCCATAGTTAGCAAAGGAAAGAGTTAACAAAGAAAGGCATAGCAAGCAGGTGGCATATGGCTCAAATTATCATTGCTGTCTTCTCTACAGAAGCTGAAAGAAAAAGTAGAAGAATTCAGAGAGATCCAGAAGGAAGTCAACACTGGATTTTATGCTTACTACCAAAACAAAACTGCTAAGCAGCTGTGTGATAACTGCTAGCTTTAGTATTTAGCTAAGCTAACAAAATCAGTGCAAACAGCAAGATAATTCAAATGACTTCCTTATAATGCTTCCTTATAAATTGCAGATGAAACTGTAACACCGCCTAGCCAAACAGTGTCTGCCTGTCATGCAGTTTGAGAGAGTGTTTGCTTGTGTTATTGTCTGTCATGCTAATTGTCAAATTTAGGATCCAGATTCTCTGATTCCAGGTATTTGGGAATCATTTTTAGACTTGATTCCACATTGTGATTTTCAAGTTTGTCCACACTTGCGCACACACGTAGTGAGATATTCTGATATCACTGTCTAGACAGCCTGTCTGAAAAACGTATCCTTCTGTAACGCACACATGAATAGATTGACTGTATTTTGCTTTGAATAAAGTGGAAAACAAAGTAAAACGTAAGTTCTAACAAAAAGCAGTTGTTACAATCAAACAACCTTGCCAGTGCTGAAAGGAGCTGAGTGAGGAAAATCAGGAAAGTCAATATAGCAAGAGTTAGCTCTACTAATTGCCTTGCTAAGACCTACTAAATCATATGACCTAAGCTTAAATTGATATCTTCTGATATCTGTTTGGCGGCACGGTGATGCAGCGGGTTGGATTCCCCAGCCAGGCGACCAGGGTCTTTTCTGAGTGGAGTTTGCATGTTATCTCCATTTCTGCGTCAGTTTCCTCCCACAGTCCAACGACATGCAATGTTAAATTACCCCTAGGTGTGAGTGTGTGTGAATGTATTTGTCTGTGTGTCTGCCCTGTGATAGACTGGCTTCTGCTCAGTGACCGCTGGGATAAGCTCCAGCGACCCAGAAGGATAAGCGGCTTAGAAAATGTGTGTGTGATAGCTGTTCCTGACAAACAACTGACGTGGTAGCACATGAAGTAATACTGTATATCAAGATCCCTTGTGATTCATCAAATGAATCATAATGGTGTATAATGAACATAATGGTGTAATTTACATTGAACTTTTGGTTTTGCTGGATTTCGTTTCCTATGCCATGATTTTTTCACTTGGAATTGAAAGTCGGTTCCAGAATTTCTAGAATCAACCAGCTTCTAATGGAATATGAGGGATATGATGTATTCAGGTGAGTATGTAGTTGCAAGGGTTTGGCTTGCCTTTTGGACAAGTAGGTCTTTCAGTGCCCATAATTATATCTTACTGCTCTTGACTACAAGTGGTATTAGCTGGAAAATGTTTTGGTGGTAAAAAGACAATGTATACTTCTATTTACACAAATCTAAAATCTACAATAGTGTTCAAAAGTTTGGAATCATCCCCATATTAATAATTGCTGTTATTTTATCAAAATTTTTCTAAGTTAGACACTAGAAGGTGTTTCAAGTTGTTTTATTCAATATTTCAAGTCTTTTTTGAGAACACCAAAAAGCTATTAAATGATAAATAATACAGAGTAATTATTCATTTATAGTAATGTCCTGATAAGTTATCTGCCTGAAATTTGATCACCATGTTTCAAATATGTGGTATTCTGGATGTTAATTTTAGTGTAACTCCATTCTCAATGCTTTACAGCTTTACACTTTGTCTTTTTTGCAGCATCATAATAGTCTCAGCATCATAATAGAATCATTTCATTCATTTACCTACAGTCACTATTTTTTAAATTCTATTTAAAACGGTAATTGTATACTTTCAAATTGTGATTCTAAACTTTTGAATGCTAGATTAAGTATTTAGTTATGCATATAAGCCACAGAGCACATGACAAAAGCTACATTTATGTCAGTATTGATTCAATAGGCAGGGCAGGGTGAAGTAGCAGTATGCTGGTCATCCTCACACTAGCTCTGACCTCATGGAGCACCTGCTACGTGTTTGGACACAGCGTGATGGACGTGACATTTCCTGCAACATCCACCATGTGATTTTCCCCAGACTGACCACAAGAGAGGAGAGTTAGAGAGAGAGAGAGACAGAGAGAGTGGATCCACGGGGACACCTGATCTCTGTCACGTACGTAACTCACACATGTAACCTGAGACTGAGCCGCATATGAGAGGCGGCACTTAAAGTTCCATGTATCAGTGCCTCTGACCACGTACACAGACAATAGCGTGCATAAGCAACATTTATAACCATTTGGAAAGAGCACAAGAGCTGTAAACACAGTGCAGTTCAAAAAGTTTGGAATCATTGTTTTCAGTAAAGAGGTTTGCATAACTAATTTTGATGCAGATATAAAAAATAAAATAAGAAATGATTCTAATATTATAGTGCAACTTCACAGGTGGTAAATAATTAGTAGGAAACTGTAAAAAATTATATTTGAGTTGTGTGAAATTTGAGCTGTAGATATTCCATGTAACTGTATAACATTGAGAATAAGTTAGAAGATAAGTTGAAGTGACTATAAATAGATAATCACAGTACATGATTTATCATTTAATTAAATAAAGCATCCAAAAAGCCTTTTTTAGTTCATAATATTTAAATCTATTTAACTATCTTTCATTACTCTACATAAAATATCAAAAATTACTAACATGACAAATGATTCTGAACTTCTGAGAAGTGCTGTTTGCGTGTTTTTTCATGTGAGTATGAAGGGTGAAGGTTCATGTGAGTACACTGGGCTCTGAGTGTGGAATAAAGCTGTTCAGTGAATGATACTGCAGCCACTTGATCCTGTCTGTCGTGACTCTGACCTTTCCAGAGCTGGATGGACTCCAAACTCAAGCTCCTCATCAGGAAGCAGTTCCTCAGCAGCTCAACACTGCCAAGGACTCAGAAAGTCCCCCCCCCAGAGTTACTGACCACTTCATACTCTGACTGACTGAGCAATCATATCACACTCAAATCACTTCACTCTCAAATAACAAAAATGCTTTTTGTACAGTACTTGCCAAATACCTAAACCACCTGACAGAGACATTATGAGCTCAGCATAGACTGAAAGATCTTAGTTTAGATTATGTAAATGCTTAGACAATGTAAATGCAGTTACTGTACAGGTTATGCAGTTAATGGATATGCTGATTTGTCACATTCTTCATGTTCTGGACACTGGAAGAACAGAAAGAGAGAAAGAGAGAGAGTGGGTTGTGTGTATGTGTGTGTGTGTGTGTGTGTGTGTGTGTGTGTCGGGGGTTGGGGGGCTGGAACTGGGTATATATCACCCTTTATTTATTTAATGTCCAGTCAAAACACTTATTATATTATTTTGTTTTTCAGGAGATATTTCTGAAGAGATCAGATAAAAGATGATCTTCCTGCACAAGGAAGGGAATGTCCAAAAAAGGGGAAAAAAACTAGAGCTCAATAAAATGATCAAAATATACAGAGAAAATGGACTTTTAATCTGGTAGGGCACCAATACTGTCACCATCAGGTAAACAGTACTTAAAGTTTTCTTCTCTGAGAGAGAGGAGAAAATCAAGCTCCACTCTTACATAAAAAATCCACAGGTGTTTCTGTCCATCTTTCCACTGTGGGAAGACAACTCAACACTATGGGTCTAAAAGGATGTGTAGCTGTCAAGAAGCCCTTACTGAGAAAAGGAAATAACTTGCAAATCAAAGAAAGAAGCTGCTGATGTTCTCAGAACAATGTAATGACCACCCCAGAGTCGAGACCTCAGCATCACTGAATGTGCTTGGGATTACCTGGATGATGACGAGCACAAAATGCAACTAACGTCTAATACTAAACTTTGGAAGTATGGAAAAACATCCCTTGTCTACAAAACATTGTTTTTGCCTGCCATTTAAAGACAGTCT